AGTTGTTGAAAGAATGTATGATAGAGACAGCAGGTCTCTTGTGTCCAGAGAGCAAAGGCAAGTTTGAAAAACTCAGCTTATTGCGCAGGACAGTGACTCATCGAGTGGAACTGATTGATGAAGACTTGGCCAGCAAGTTAAATAGTAAGGCAGAGTTCTTTAAGTTTTATTCACTAGCATTGGATGAAAGTAATGACGTAAAGGACACTGCTCAGCTCTTAATTTTTATCCGAGGGATTAGTGACAATTTTGAAATTATGGAGGAGTTTTTAGCCATGGAGCCACTGAAAGGAAAAACACGGGGAGAGGACTTGTATGACCGGGTGTCTACTGTCATCGAGAAAATGAAGCTACCATGGAGTAAACTTGCTAATGTCACAACAGATGGATCTCCAAATTTAACTGGAAAAAATGTTGGACTGCTAAAAGAATTCAGGATAAAGTGAAAGAGGAGAACCCTAACCAAGATGTTATTTTTCTTCACTGTATTATTCACCAGGAATCATTGTGCAAGTCTATATTACAACTTAATCATGTTGTTAATCCAGTCGTAAAGCTTGTTAATTTCATTCGAGCAAAGGGACTTCAGCACCGTCAGTTTATTAAGTTTCTGGAGGAAACTGATGCGGATCACCACGACTTACTTTACCACTCTCGTGTCCGCTGGTTGAGTTTGGGCAAAGTTTTCCAATGAGTGTGGGAGCTCAAAGAAGAGATTGGTGCATTTTTGAAATTAAAGGGGAAGTCTGACGAAATTAAAGGGGAAGTCTGAGCTGAGTGACAAGAATTGGCTATGTGACTTTGCATTTGCTGTAGATATATTTTCACATTTGAATGAGCTAAATGTGAAGCTACAGGGAAAAGATCAGTATGTACATGACATGTACACTAATGTGAAAGCCTTTAAATCGAAGCTGATTTTCTTTTCCAGACAAATTTCAGACAAAGTCTTCACTCATTTTGCCACACTAGCCACATAGAAAGAGACCATCCAAAATGTGAAGAAATACAGCAAATCACTGGATGACCTGCATGCAGAATTCTGTCGTCGGTTTTCTGATGTTGAAAAAATTGACCAGTCACTTCAACTGGTGGCCTGTCCTTTGTCACAAAAACCTGAAACAGCACCAGAAGAGGTGTAACTGGAACTCATCAATCTTCAGTCTGACTTTGTCCTAAAGGAGAAATTCAGCTCTCTTGAACTAAGAGACTTTTATGCTTCACTTAATGAAGCCACTTTTCCAAACATCCGGAGGATGGCACACAAGATACTGGTGCTGTTTGGGTCAACCTATGTTTGTGAGCAGACATTTAGCGTCATGAACATCAACAAAGCCCCTCACAGATCCAGATTAACTGACAAACACCTCAGATCTATCCTGAGAATAGCCACAACAAAACTAACTCCAGACTTTGATTCATTAGCTAAAAAAGGAGACCAACAACACTGTTCCCACTGAAGTTGATGTTTTAAAGACCAAAAACCTTTCAACCCAGTCTACATTGCCATCTACATCTACGTCCCGGGCATAATTTAGAAGTTGCACTAAAGAAAATGTTTAATTTACTGTTTACACATTTTGTTCTTTTCTATTTGTTTTAGTTTTAAATTATTTTATTATATTTAAGTTTAATTTGAAAGGCTTTTGTACCTTTCCTTTGTTAGGCAATTTTATTTTGCCTTTGCCATCTTCAATATAAGGTATGTTATTGTGCTATGATTCCTCCATTTTTTGAAGTTTCAAATTATAATAATTAGTGTTTACACTCTTCTCGTTAAAATGTTTGAAATGAATAAAACTATTGAAATAAAAAAAAAGACCGTACCCTTTTATGTAATGATGTTTACTTTGAATTTATATTAGTTCACACAAACACTCCATCCATGCTTTTGTTCCGGCCCTCCGGTCCAGTTTAAGAACCCATTGTGGCCCTCGAGTCAAAAAGTTTGCCCACCCCTGATATAGCCAATACCATCTAGGTCCATCCATGTTGTTTCTGATGGTAAGATTTTATTATTTTTTATGGCTGAGTAATATTCCATTGTACATATGTGCCACAACTTTTTTTTTATCCACTTGTCTATTGATGGGCACTTGGGTTGCTTCCATATCTTGGCTGTTGTGAATAATGATGCAATGAACATAGAGGTAGCCTTCAGGAAACTCTTGATCATAAAAATTAAGACATGATTTCTAAGAAGAATGTTTTGTTTTTCAAGTGTTTGAACATATAACTATTAAAGGTGTTTCCTGTACTCATCTACAAGGTCTTTGTTTCACAGTGTAGTTGTTCATTGATTAAAACAGATGATTTGGAGTAAAACAGACCTGGATTTGAGTCTTGGCCCTGGTTCTTTGCTCCTGGGCCAGTGACTTCACCCCTGGAGGCCTCAGTGCCTCATCTATCACCACTAATGTGGTGAGGTTAAACAAATTAAATACACAGAGACCTAGAACAGTGATTAGTTCAGAAAGATTATTCTCCCAATGAGAATAGCATTCTCTATAGAATTTGTCAGATTGAATAGATTAACTTCATTTTTTCTAATTTTGTGCTATTTCACTTTGTTTGTGTATGCTAGTCTTTAATATATAATATATCTTAAACCAAGAGAAGCTAAAAAGCATTTTGATTATTGGCCACACAGTTAATAATGATGTAATTATTAACTTCTGCCAGGGTGACAAAGGGACTTAATTAATTTAATTTTGTATAGCTTGAACTGTTGATTGCTTTTCAAATGTGATAAATTGTAGCCATTGCTATTAGTCATGATACACATAAACAAAATATCAACTGTTCAAAAAAGTTGTATTATTTTGTCATTAAACTCTTGGGTGTGTACCTTGAGAGCTTTTTCCCATCTTTGCTTGTGACCTGGTGATTTATATAAGTGGAAATTCTCAATTAAACAGAATATGGGATTACCTAAAACACCAAATTTTTTGATAATTTTAAATTCAGGTAAGTGTTCTTGTTTGGGGAGAATGAACACACACACACACACACACACACACTCATAAAAACACCCTTCCATAATGGCTCATCTTCTGTGGTCAAAAAGGGAAAGCCTGAGGGAGCCATCTCGTAGTAGAGATTCTTCCCTTTGCTGCCTGGGATGAAGAGCCATTTTAAAATGGAGGTGGCAAGAGGGCACAGGCAGCCTGTGTAGAAGGGAGACCTTGATTTGGAGGGGGAGAATCAACTGATTAGGTCTTTCAATGGCCCATTCCTCTTTATGTATAACAAAAATATCCTAAATACTCTCATACACCATTCTTTTTCAGAGCCTCCCTCATAATAGCGGTCAGCAAGGTTTTCTGAAAAGAATAAGTAGATAGTTAAAGCAATACTCTATAAAGGATGGTAAGAAATTTTACATCAAAGAATTAAAAGACTTAGGTAGGCTTTCTGGGTACAATAAACAGTTCAAAAACACTGAAAGATGACCTCACTGGCTTATATCCAAGGTTATGGTCATAGCCATTTTCAGTGCATTGATTTTCTGGATGTTTTATTTGATAATAGCTGCTTTGGGAGACCCGATATTTCTCACTTGAAATTTCTGTATATAAAGCATTTTTTTTTTTTTTATGAACAAACAGAAAGTAGCCATAACTATGTGACTCTGCATTTTGTTTAATACACTTTTTCTGATGAGTGGAAAACAGCAATCAAAATTCAATATCTGTAGTGGACCCTCCATACACATTTTAATTTCTCTTTATTGCAACTCAGACAATGAAATGAATGGGAATAAGAAACTTAGAAACACATAGGCCTTGGCTGGTGACTTTCTTTTAGGGTAGCCCTGCTTACTCTTTGCACATAAATTAGTTTGCACCTCCGGTAAATATTTTGCCACAGTCTGGGTAAATGGCCTTAACTCTGAAGAACTGTGAAAGATAAGCTTTACTCCTTTTTTAAAAAATTAGCAATTAGTTGACTGATAGTTGATTATTAACTTCCTTGATCCAGTCACACAGTGAGTGAGCAACTATATATTGAAGCCTTATTCCATGATGGATACTGTTTATTGTATTTTGGCCAACCTAATTTTTCTAGTTCTGGTTTGCTTTAGGAAAACTTTTAAAAAATAATCTATTATTGTTGAAAGTATTACATATGTCCCTATCTCCCCCCCCCCCCATTGACTCCATTAGTCCTCCCCTGCCCTCTGCCTCAGGCCTTCACCACCCCATTGACTGTGTCCATGGGTTATGCATATACGCATACAAGTTCTTTGGTTGATCTCTTCCATCGCACATACCCACCCTCCCCTGCCTTCCCTCTGTGATTTGATAGTATGGTCCATGCTTCTATGTCTCTGGATCTATTTTGTTCATCAGTTTATTTTGCTGTTTAGATTCTACATATGAGTGAGAGAATGTGATACTTGTCTTTCTCTGACTGCCTTATTTCGCTTATTCTCCAGGTCCCTCCATGCTGTCTCAAAGAGTAAGAGAACCTCCTTTCTTACAGCTGCAGAATACTCCATGATGTATACGTACCACAGCTTTTTTACCTACTCATCTAATGATGGGTACTTGGGCTGTTTCCAGATCTTAGCTATTGTAAATTGCTCTGTTATGAACATAGGGGTGCATACATTCTTTCTGATTGGTGTTTCGTATTTCTTAGGATATATTCCTAGAAGTAGGATCACTGGGTCAAATGGAAGTTCCATATTTAATTTTTTGAGGAATCTCCATACTGTTTTCCATAATGGCTGCACCAGTCGTATTCCCACCAGCAGTGTACTAGGGTTCCTTTTTCTCCACATCCTCACCAGCACTTGTCATTTGTTGATTTGTTGATGGTAGGCATTCTGAGAAGTGTGAGGTAATACCTCAGTGTCTGTTTAATTTGCATCTCACTATGATTAGTAACTTTGAGCATTTTCCATATATCTCTTGGCCTTCTCTATGTCCACTTTGCAGAGTGTCTATTTAGGTCCTTTGCCCATTTTTTTAATTGGATTGTTTGTCTTCCTTTTGTTAAGTTGTATGAGTTCCTTACATATTTTGGATATAACTCTTCATCAGATGTATCATTGCCAAATATGTCCTCCCATATAGTGGGCTCCCATTACATTGTGTTAATGGTTTCTTTTGCTGTGCAGAAGCATTTTTTTTAATGTAGTTCCATTTGTTTATTTTTTCCTTAGTTTCTTTTGCCCTAAGAGACATATCCACAAATATATTGCTATGAGAAATATCTGAGATTTTTCTCCTTATGGTTTCTTCTAGGGTTTTTATGGTTTCATGCCTTACATTTAAGTAATTTTATTGATTTTGAGTTTATTCTTTAAAAATAATTTTTATTTTAAAATATGTTTTTATTGATTTCAGAGAGAAAAAGAGGAGAGAGAGATAGAAACATTGATGATAAGAGAGAATCATTGATTGGCTGCCTCATGCACACCCCCTACTGGGGATTGAGCCTGCAACCCAGGCATGTGCCCTTGACTGGAATAGAATTGGGGCCCTTCAGTCCGCAGGCCAAACCAGCTGGTGCATTTTGAGTTTATTCTTGTGTATGGTTTAAGTTGGGGGTCTAGTTTCATTGTTTGCATTTATCTGTCCAATTTTCCTAGCACCATTTATTGAAGAGACTGTCTTGATTCGACTGTATGCTCTTGCCTCCTTTGTCAAATATTAATTGGCTATAATGGGTTATGTTGATGTCTGGGGTCTCTGTTCTGTTCCATTGATTTATATACCTGTTCTGGTGCCAGAACCAGGCTGTTTTGATTACAGTGGTTTTGTAGTATAACTTGAGATCTGGTATTGTGATTCCTCCAACTTTGTTTTTCTTTCTCAAGATTGCAGCTGCTATTTGGGTATTTTCTGGTTCCATAAATTTTTGGAGTATTTGTTCTAGATCTGTGAAATATGCCATTGGTACTTTAATAGGGATTGCATTAAATCTATAGATTGCTTTGGGTAGTTAGGATACTTTAATGATGCTAATTCTTTCTATCCATGAACATGGTATATCCCTCCACTTATTTCTATTTTCCTCTTTTTCTTTTTTCAATGTCCAGTACAAGTACAAGTCTTTTACCACCTTGGTTAAGTTTATGTCTAAGTGTCTTATTTTTTCTTCAATGGTAAATGGGATTGCTTGTTTAGTTTCTCTTTCTGAGACTTCATTATCTAAT